CCTCGGGCCATCTTGGAGGCCATCTTGCGACTTGGAGCGCCTCTTGGAGCCATCCTGGGCCATCTTGGACGCTGCGGCGTCTCCGTCCCCCCCCCTCCACGTCCAGGGGAGGAGGTAGGGGGAGGGGTGAACCCCTCCCCCGAGGGAAGAGAGACAAACAAATTCGTTATACCGCCGTAGCTCTAAAGGGTTGGTGTGAGTTATGTTGGGTACGTGCGTATGTAGGTATGTATGTATGCATGCATGCCTGCATGAATGTATGTATATATGTATGTATGTATGCATGCATGCATGTATGTATGTATGTATGTATGTATGTATGTATGTGTGTATGCATGTATGTCTGTATGCATGCACGTATGTATGTGTGTGTGCGCATATATGCATGTATGTATGTATGCATGCATCCATGCATGCATGTATGTATGCATGTATGTATACATCTATGTATGCATGTAAAAGGAGCGTAATGTAATGCCATATAATGTATGTTAATGTCTTATAAGGTGTTGCAATGGTGTGTAATGTGTTGTGCTGTTTTGTATTGCGTAGCAGTGTAATGTATTGTAATGTATGTATGTACGTATGAATGAATGTATGTATGTCTGTGCATATATATATATATATATGTATATATATACACACTAATGTCTGTCTGTCCGTCTGTCTGTATGTACATGTATGTATATATTTACAATCCTATATACGCACATACACACGTACATGTAACGGGGCACCTGGTCGGGGGACCCTGGGCTGGGACCCCGACCACAGACATGTGGACCGGGCTGCCCGGGGCCCCGCCGGCACGCCAGAGGCCCTCCAGGATCGCCCGACGACGGTTCCGAATCGCTTGCAAGCGCGCTTCGAGACCGTTGAAGCGGCCCATGACGGCCCCCTAGACGGCCCAAGAGGCTTCCAAGACGCCTGAAGAGGCCTCCCAAGAGGGACCCAAGTGTCCAAACCATTGTTGGGCTTTTGCAGGGTTTTGGCTTTCTTCCCCACATGCTTAGTGGGGTTCTGGTTTTCTTCACTGCCGCGTCGCACCCGCGTCTCCTCCTCCTCCTCCTCCTCCTCCTCCTCCTCCTCCTCCTCCTCCTCACGCACCTAGCACAGCACAGCTCAGCACAGCTCAGCTCAGCTCAGTTCAGCTCAGCACGGCACAGCTTAGCACAGCTCAGCTCAGCACAACACAGCACGGGACATCACGGCACAGCACAGCACAACACAGCACAGCGAAGCGCAGGGGTGGTCTCCTTCGACACCAAAGAGGCTGCGCACGGGGTGGTCACTTCACCGCGGCCGCTATCCACGACATTGTTTCTCGACGCCAGAGGGGGTGCGCAGGGGTGGTCTCTCACCACGGCCGCTATCCACGACACTGTCGCAAAGCCTAGCAGGCGCGGCAATTTATCGACGCCAGAGGGGGTGCGCAAGGGGTGGTCTCTCACCGCGGCCGCTGGCCACGACACTGTTTCTCGACGCCAGAGGGGGTGCGCAGGGGGTGGTCTCTCACCGCGGCCGCTATCCACGACACTGTCGCAAAGCCTAGCAGGCGCGGCAATTTCTCGACGCCAGAGGGGGTGCGCAGGGGGTGGTCTCTCACCGCGGCCGCTATCCACGACACTGTTTCTCGACGCCAAAGGGGGTGCACAGGGGGTGGTCTCTCACCGCGGCCGCTATCCACGACACTGTCGAAAGCCTAGCAGGCGCGGCAATTTCTCGACGCCAGAGGGGGTGCGCAGGGGTGGTCTCTCACCGCGGCCGCTATCCACGACACTGATTCTCGACGCCAGAGGGGGTGCGCAGGGGGTGGTCTCTCACCGCGGCCGCTATCCACGACACTGTCGAAAAGCCTAGCAGGCGCGGCAATTCTCGACGCCAGAGGGGGTGCGCAGGGGGGTGGTCTCTCACCGCGGCCGCTATCCACGACACTGTTTCTCGACGCCAGAGGGGGTGCGCAGGGGTGGTCTCTCACCGCGGCCGCTATCCGCGCACTGACGCCAGCGCAACCGACGACCTCGACGCCAGAGGGGGTGCGCAGGGGGTGGTCCCTCACCGCGGCCGCTACCCACGACACTGTCGCAAAGCCTAGCAGGTGCGGCAATTTCTCGACGCCAGAGGCGGTGCGCAGGGGGTGGTCTCACACCGCGGCCGCTATCCACGACACTGTTTCTCGACGCCAGAGGGGGTGCGCAGGGGGTGGTCTCTCACCGCGGCCGCTATCCACGACACTGTCGCAAAACCTAGCAGGCGCGGCAATGTCTCGACGCCAGAGGGGGTGCGCAGGGGGTGGTCTTTCACCGCGGCCGCTATCCAAGACACTGGCGAAAAAAACAAAGCAGGCGGGGCAATTTCTCGACGCCAGAGGGGGTGCGCAGGGCGTGGTGTCTCACCGCGGCCGCTATCCACGACACTGTCGAAAAGCCCCGCAGCGCGGCAATTTCTCGACGCCAGAGGAGGTGCGCAGGGGGTGGTCTCTCACTGCGGCCGCTATCCACGACACTGCCGAAAATCCTAGCAGGCGCGGCAATTTCTCAACGCCAGAAGGAGGTGCGCAGGGGGTGGTCTCTCACCGCGGTCGCAATCCACGACACTGTCGAAAAGCCTAGCAGGCGGGGCAATTTCTCGACGCTAAAGGGGGTGCGCAGGGGGTGGTGTCTCACCGCGGCCGCTATCCGCGACACTGTCGAAAAAAGCCTAGCATGCGCGGCAATTTCTCGACGCCAGAGGGGGTGCGCAGGGTGCGGTCTCTCACCGCGGCCGCTATCCACGACACTGTCGAAAAGCTTCGCAGGCGCGGCGATTTCTCGACGCCAGAGGGGGTGCGCAGGGGGTTGTCTTCTCACCGCGGCCGCAATCCACGACACTGTCGAAAAGCATAGCATGCGCGGCAATTTCTCGACGCCAAAGGGGGGTGCGCAGGGGGCGGTCTCTCACCGCGGCCGCTATCCACGACACTGTCGAAAAGCCTAGCAGGCGCGGCAATTCCTCGACGCCAGGGGGGGTGCGCAGGGGGTGGTCTCTCACCGCTGCCGCTATCCACGACACGGTCGAAACGCTTAGCATGCGCGGCAATTTCTCGACGCCAGAGGGGGTGCGCAGGGGGTGGTCTCTCATCCACGACGACGCCAGAGGGGGTGCGCAGGTGGTCTCTCACCGCGGCCGCTATCCACGACACTGTCGACGCTTTCTCGACGCCAGAGGGGGTGCGCAGGGGTGGTCTCTCACCGCGGCCGCTATCCACGACATTGTCGAAAAAGCCTTGCAGGCGCGGCAATTTCTCGACGCCAGAGGGGGTGCGCAGGGGGTTTCTTCTCACCGCGGCCTATCCACGACACTGTTTCTCGACGCCAGAGGGGGTGCGCAGGGGGTGGTGTCTCACCGCGGCCGCTATCCACGACACTGTCGAAACGCCTCGCAGGCGCGGCAATTTCTCGACGCCAAAGGGGGTGCGCAGGAGTGGTCCCTCACCGCGGCCGCTATCCACGACATTGTCGAAAAGCCTTGCAGGCGCGGCAATTTCTCGACGCCAGAGGGGGTGCGCAGGGGGTTGTCTTCTCACCGCGGCCGCTATCCACGACACTGTCGAACAGTCTCGCAGCGCGGCAAGACGCCAGAGGGGGTGCGCAGGGGGTGGTCTCTCACCGCGGCCGCTATCCACGACACTGTCGAAAAGCTTCGCAGGCGCGGCAATTTCTCGACGCCAGAGGGGGTGCGCAGGGTGTGGTCTCTCACCGCGGCCGCTATCCTTGACGTTCGTCCAGGCACAGCGGGCATGGCATATTCTCGAGATCATAGGGGGTGCGCAAGGGGAAATCTCTCATCGCGGCCGCTGTCCGTGACGTTCGTTCAGGCACAGCAGGCATGGCATAGCCTCGAGGCCATAAGGGGTGGTCTCTCACCGCGGCCGCTATTCGTGACGGTCGTCCAGGCACAGCAGGCGTGAACACGCGCGACCTTACATCAGTGTGTGGGGTTCCTCGGTCGTGTAATCGTTGTTTCGGCTTCCCGACGCTCCCTGACGTCCCTAGAGCCCCAAATCTCGCCCCAAGACGGCCCAAGCTGCCTCCAAGAGGGTCTCAAAATGGCTCAAGAGGCTTCCAAGACGGCCCAACATGCCCAAGACCGCCCAAGAGGCCCCAAAGAGGGCTCCAAGAGGGGGCCCAGATGGGGGACCCCAGTGGACATTTCGAGCCTTCGGCCCCGAAGGGCCCCCAGGAGGCACCAACGGGCCCCCAGGAGGCACCCAAGAGGCCCCGAGAGGCCCCCGAGAGGCCCTAAGAGGCACCCAAAAAGCTTCCAAGAGGCTCCCAAGCGGCTCTCAAACTGCCCCCCTGAGGCCTCTGAGAGCGAACTCGAGAGGCCCGAAGAGGCCTCCAAGACGCCCCCACGAGTTAGTCACAGTAATGAGAGCAGGAAGGGGCTGTAGGAATGTGCGTGAACATTTGAATAAAACTGGCATGATTTCACGGAATGGGAGCAGGAGCAGGGCTAGGAGCTTTGCGCAAAGCGACGCTGCATGGACACAGGCTGATTATATACATAAAGAGGGGACTGACTCCGGGGGGCTGGGGCTTGGACCCCGACCGCAAATGTATGCCCCTTCTCGCCTCTGGTGGGCTGCGGAGGTCTCAAGACTGCTCCTTGGAGGTCCCCGGGAGGCCACAAGACGCCCCCTAATACCTAATGATCCCAAGAGGCTCCGAGAACCCCCAAGACGTCCCCAAGGGGCCACCAACATGCTTCCAAGAGGCCTCCAAGAGGCCCTCAAAAGGTCCCCGAACGTCCCTCGAGGCCCCCCAACCCCCCAAAGGCCCCACCACCATAAACCCCAGAGGGCCCCAGGGGACTCCCGAAAGCTTCCGACAAGGCAACCACCATTCAAAAACCAAGGGGCATCACTGATTTGTGCTTTTCGCCTTCTCGCGTCCCATGGGCTGCGGAGGGCTCAAGATCGCTCTTCGGTGGCCCCTGGCGACGCCCCCTACTGATCCCAAGAGGCTTCAAGAATCGCCAAGACGCCCCCAAGAGGCCACACATATGTTCAAGTCATTCTGGCGCAGGCGTGATTCATCACTTTCGCAGGCGCGCGCGCGTGCACTTCATTTTCATTCGATAAAGTATCGATGACTTCCATGATGAACTTCGGCATGGGGCTCGTCAGTGTTGCGTCGTCTATGGCACTATACGCAGGCGCCCCAGCAAGCGATCAGGGTGGGATCGCCCCAGATTTTCAAGTATTCGGCTCGTTTGAGCTCAGCCACGTCGACGTTCACTTGATGCAGCAGCGAGTCAGCGAGGAACCTTCCCCACTACCCCCCGATGTCGTGCAGAGTGAACTTTCCCCACTGCCCCCTGTCGTCTACGAGGAAGTGGACGACCGTGCAGGCCACTTGCATGTTGTAATAGAGTTCGACAATAGCACAGCACAGTCACGCCAGGCGCAAAACCCATACACTGTGTATGGTTCCTCAGGCCACTGCTCGCTTTGCGGCAGATCAGGGTACAATTGCCTCAGACCAAGCCAAGGCGGTGGGCCAATGTGAATTTTGGTGGCGTCAACTTGGGCACGGTCACCAAGTGGACAGCGACGGCATACGGAGCTAAGTGCGGCACTGGGACTCTAACATTGACGTTGTCAGGCACGACCGCCTCAGGATATTGTGGTTATCCAACGAGTTGCAGTTGCGGCGAGTGCCTCGCGTGTACCGCCTCGAGCGCAACTTACCCGAGTGGTATCTCGAACTGGAATTGGGGTAGCAACTCCATCAGTCCCACCTGGGATAACACGAGCCCCTACTGTACTTCCAGGTTGGAGATTTACATTGAGTACACCACGCAGGCGACGCCCAACCCGACTCCCAGCCCGACGCCCAACCCGACGCCCAACCCGACGCCCAACCCGACGCCCAATCCAACAACTTCTCCCACGCCGTCTCCGACACCATCCCCAACGTGGTTTCCGACGCTTTCCCCAACGCCGGTGCCCGCTCCAGGCATGGTTACCGAAACCACCGTGCTAGGCTCCATGTCCTTGTCTTGCTCGGCGGGTGAGTCGGAGACTAAAGCTGTCGTGAAGCCAGTTCTGATGCAGGAGATGAACATATCCGCCAAGTCGATGCTGAATGTGCAGGTTCACCAAACAGCGCGGCGGTCGGTGAGCGGGACCGCCCTTGGCTCTTTCAACATAACTTACTCTGCTGAGACGACTGACCCGGAGAAGGCGGCCGAGTTGGCGACATCCGCGAACAGCATGGCTGCAGACCCGACATCGTTAGTGGGCTCGCTCACTACCGCCTTCGCCGACGCGGGCATCACTTTCGACGCGTCGTCAGTGGTGGTTAGCCCACCTTCGACGAGTCATGTCGCGATAGCAGCTGCAACTGGTGACCCCCACCTCGTGAACATATACGGGCAACGTTTCGACATCATGCAGGCCGGGACTTACGTGCTCATCCAAGTCCCCAGAGGTTCGGTCGCAAAGCGGTCGCTGCTGGCCGTCGAAGCCCGTGCGGAGCGGTTTGGTCATGCATGTTCTGACTTGTATTTCAAGTCCCTGAACTTGACCGGCGCGTGGGTTGACACATTGAGCCCTGGGGGCTTTCGATTTTCCGCCAGTGTTCCAAACACGCACGTCGGGGCAGGGTGGTTGCATATCAGGCATGTCGATGTCAAGGTGCGCTGGGGCCACACCGCCGAGGGTGTCGAATACCTCAACGTGTTCGTTCGACACTTGGGCAGGGCGGGCTTGCCTGTTGGTGGGCTACTTGGCGATGGTGACCACTCCAAGGCGGCCACTCCGAGCCCACACTGCCGTCGCAGCCTGTCTTTGTAATAGCCACTGCCAGCCCCACATTTGTGGCTTCTGCATGGTTCTCTTGGCATGAAGTCTTGGTGGCGCGACCGCGTCCTTTGATTGATTGGTACGTCGGCTCGGATTGAGTTGCACGTGGCAGAACCCATTGCCGACCAGACGTATCACAGACTGATTTCATGTCCGAGGCTTTCAATTCTTGACGCTTCGCGAATCCCTACCAGCCCATCCAGAAATGATGTCCAGAGGAATTGCCTGGATCAGGGAACTGGGCAGCACACAGAGGAAGCCATTATGAGACGTCTTGGGATATCTTGAGCCATCTTGGAGGTCATGTTGGGCTCTCCCAGGCGCTCTTGGAGTCATCTTAACCAGTGCTCCCCCCCCCCAAGAGGCCAACATGTGGCTAAAACCTTCGTGACATCAATGATTTGGTATTCTCGCCGAGGCCTCTTAGAGCATCTTTGGTGCCTCTGGGGGGTCTCTTGGGGCCTCTTGGGGGTCTCTTGGGGGCCTCTTGGGGGCCTCTTGGGGGCCTCTTGGGGCCATCTTGGGGCCATCATGGGACCTCTTGGGGCCTCCAGGCGCTTCTTGGGGCCACCTTGGAGGAGATCGATCAAACAAGAGGGGAGCGTCAATTAGGGTCCCCCCCCCAGGAGGCCAAAATGGGGCCAAAACCGTAGTACAATCAATGATTTTGGCTTTCTCGCCGAGGCCGTTTTGGACGCTCCGACGACTCGCGGAACCCCCTGCCCAGGTCCAGGGGAGGGGGCCCGAACGGGAAGAAGGAGGGGTGGAAGAGGAAGTAAACCACCTACGCCCAGAGGGCTGGTGGGATTAACGTGAGCATCATTTTGAACGGCTCCTCTGACATCGAAGGCAGTTTGCAGTGCCATGTAACAGAGTGTGGCCCCAATTCTCCAGCGACTCATCTGACGCATGAGCTTGTTTTACAATCGCCTGGCTGTTGGCCAGATGTGAAAGCAGTGCAAACAGATCTCGAGGGTTGCTCGAGCTTCTTTCTTTCATAGACCTCGCACTGAACCAAAAAAAACACCGAACGTCCCATGAGGCCCCGAAGACAGCCCAACAGGCGCCCCAAAGGCCGCCAAGAGACCTCCTCGGCCACGCAAGGCCACCACAGAGCCCCATCCCGTGCCGCTCTTCCACGCTTGAGCTAACTTGAGGGGGGCACGGCTACCCAGGCGCTGGCTCGTCGAATCAGCTCCTCTCCACGTTTTAGATAAGTAGGGGGGGGGCACGGCACGCCAGGGGCTGGCTCGTAGAGTCAGTTCTTCCACGGTTGAGCTGACCTGGGAAACCAACGCCTCGGCATCGCTCGGACGTGTGCATTTTTCCTTCGGCGAGGACCATCGAGGAGCATCCTTGATCATTTTGGCGAAAAAGCCACGCACGAAACCGGAAAAAGCACAGGACATGGACGTCCGAACGATGGCCAGACGCTGCCCTGGCGCTGCGGCGCTGGCTCGAAGAACCTCCCACGCGCTTGAGCTTGCCCGGGAGGCCACGGCTGCTCCGACGCTGCCTCGTCAAACCAGTTCCTCCCAAGCACCCGGGGGGGGCCACGGCTGCTCCGTGAGTTCGGGGGCGGAAAAGAGGGGGGTGATGACTAAGGGGGGGGCGGATCTCATGGCGGGGGCCATGATATTTCCCCAGATTTCATGGCGCCTCTTCTTATTTCATTACGTCCCTGGCCCCCCCGCTGGGCCGCGCACATGCCGCCGGTCATGATTTGCACCCCCCCCCTCTTGGACCCCCCCCTCTTGGCCGCTCCCGAGAGTCCGCGCTTGAGCTGATCAGGGGGCTGCGGCTGCCCTGGTGCTGGCTCGTAGAATAGCTCTTCCACGCTTGATTTACCTTGGGGGGGGCACGGCTGCCCCAGCGCTGTTCTCCCACGCTTGAGCCGACCTGGGGGCCAACGCTGCTCCAGTGCTGGCTCGGAGTCTCAGTGCTTCCACGCTTGAGCTGACCTGGAGGGCCCACGGCTGCCCCAGCGCAGGTTCGTAGAATCAATTCTTCCACGCATGGGCTAACCTGGGGCGCACGGCCCTCCCTGCGCTGGCTCGTAGAATCCGTTTTTCCACGCTTGCTCGCGCCGTTTCCGTCGTTGTCGCCGTCGCCGTTATCTTCACATGGTAGCGACCCCAACGCAAACGTTCAAGGCTGATCGCCGTTGGTGGGCCACAGTGGGTGGTGCAGCTCGGAGGGAGGTTCGAGGATCCAGGTTCGAGGAGGCTCTTCAGCGTTTTGGCCTCGTGGAGCCCTTCTGCGGCCCTCGGGAGCTGCTCTCGGGCCCCAGGGCCACCTGAAAGGCTCCGCCGATGCGCTGGAGTATCCGGGGGGTCCCCGGCTGCCCCAGAACTTTCTCGTAGAATTTGGCGCTGAGCAGACCTGGGGACCACCAATCTCCAGGCGCTGGTCCGTAGAATCCGTTCTTCCACGCTGGTCCGTAGAATCCGGGCTGCCCCGGCGCTGGCTCGTAGAATCAGTTCCTCGTCTTTCCCGCTTGAGCTAAGGGGGGCCACGGGTGCCCCGGCGCTGGCTCGTCGAACCATTCTTCCACGCTTGAGTTAACCTGAACAGCCACGGCTTGCCTGGCGTCGGCTCGTAGAATCAGTTCTTCCACGCTCGAACCCACGGTTGCCCCTGCGCTGGCGCTTAGATTCTGTGCTTCCATGCTTAAGCTGACCTGGGTGGTGGTGGTGGTGGTGCTGCTGCTGCTCATGATGATGATGATGATGATGATGATGATGATGATGATGATGATGCTACTGCTGATGTCGATGATTGTGATGATGATGATGAGGAGGAGGACGAGGATGATGATGATGATGATGATGATTATGATGATGATGATGATGATGATGATGATGATGCGGCTGATAATGAGGATGCTGATGAGGATAAGGATTGTTGTTGATGATGATGACGATGATGATGCTGCTGCTGATGAGGATGATGTGGCTGAGGATGAGGATGCTGATGAGGATAAGGATGGTCGTTGTTGGTGATGATGACAATGCTGATGATGATGCTGCTGCTGACGACCATGATTATTCTCATGATTCTGATGCTCATGATGATGATAGTGATGACCATGACGATGACGATGACGCTGATGATGCTGATGCTTATGATGATGAGGATGAGGATGATGATGATGACGGTGATGCTGATGATGCTGATGATGATGATGATGATGATTCTGGTGATGAAGATGGTGATTAGGATGAGGAGGAGGAGGAGGAGGATGAGGATGAGGATGACGACACCGACTACGACGATGACGGTGATGATGACGATGTTGATGATCATGGTATCATGCTGCTTGTGATGATGAGGCCGAGAATATCAATGATTTTGCCGCTGACGATGACGAGGAGAAGGAGGATGAGGATGATGATGATAAGAAGGATGAGGATGAGGATGAGGATCAGGATGAGGATGAGGATGATGATGAGGATGATGATGAGGACGAGGATGATGATGAGGATGAGGATGATGATGATGTTGATGCTGATGATGAGGATGAGGATGAGGATGAGGATCAGGATGAGGATGATGATGAGGATGATGATGCTGATGCTGATGCTGATGCTGATGATGATGCTGATTAGTATGATGCTGATGATAATGATGATGACACTGAGGATAATGATGATGATGATTCTGATGTTGATGTTGATGACAATAATGATGATGATGATGATGATGATGATGATGATGATGATGATGATGATGATGATGCTACTGCTGATGTCGATGATTGTGATGATGATGAGGAGGAGGACGAGGATGATGATGATGATGATGATGATGATGATGATGATGATGCTGATGATGATGATGATGATGATGATGATGATGCGGCTGATAATGAGGATGCTGATGAGGATAAGGATTGTTGTTGATGATGATGACGATGATGATGCTGCTGCTGATGAGGATGATGTGGCTGAGGATGAGGATGCTGATGCGGATAAGGATGGTCGTTGTTGGTGATGATGACAATGCTGATGATGATGCTGCTGCTGACGACCATGATTATTCTCATGATTCTGATGCTCATGATGATGATAGTGATGACCATGACGATGACGATGACGCTGATGATGCTGATGCTTATGATGATGAGGATGAGGATGAGGATGATGATGATGACGGTGATGCTGATGATGCTGATGATGATGATGATGATTCTGGTGATGAAGATGGTGATTAGGATGAGGAGGAGGATGAGGAGGATGAGGATGAGGATGACGACACCGACTACGACGATGACGGTGATGATGACGATGTTGATGATCATGGTATCATGCTGCTTGTGATGATGAGGCCGAGAATATCAATGATTTTGCCGCTGACGATGACGAGGAGAAGGAGGATGAGGATGATGATGATAAGAAGGATGAGGATGAGGATGAGGATCAGGATGAGGATGAGGATGATGATGAGGATGATGATGAGGACGAGGATGATGATGAGGATGAGGATGATGATGATGTTGATGCTGATGATGAGGATGAGGATGAGGATGAGGATCAGGATGAGGATGATGATGAGGATGATGATGATGATGCTGATGCTGATGCTGATGATGATGCTGATTAGTATGATGCTGATGATAATGATGATGACACTGAGGATAATGATGATGATGATTCTGATGTTGATGTTGATGACAATAATGATGATGATGATGATGATGATGATGATGATGATGATGATGATGATGATGATGATGATGATGATGATGATGATGATGATGATGCTACTGCTGATGTCGATGATTGTGATGATGATGATGATGAGGAGGAGGACGAGGACGAGGATGATGATGATGATGATGATGATGATGATGATGATGCGGCTGATAATGAGGATGCTGATGAGGATACGGATTGTTGTTGATGATGATGACGATGATGATGCTGCTGCTGATGAGGATGATGTGGCTGAGGATGAGGATGCTGATGAGGATAAGGATGGTCGTTGTTGGTGATGATGACAATGCTGATGATGATGCTGCTGCTGACGACCATGATTATTCTCATGATTCTGATGCTCATGATGATGATAGTGATGACCATGACGATGACGATGACGCTGATGATGCTGATGCTTATGATGATGAGGATGATGATGATGATGATGACGGTGATGCTGATGATGCTGATGATGATGATGATGATGATGATTCTGGTGATGAAGATGGTGATTAGGATGAGGAGGAGGAGGAGGAGGATGAGGATGAGGATGACGACACCGACTACGACGATGACGGTGATGATGACGATGTTGATGATCATGGTATCATGCTGCTTGTGATGATGAGGCCGAGAATATCAATGATTTTGCCGCTGACGATGACGAGGAGAAGGAGGATGAGGATGATGATGATAAGAAGGATGAGGATGAGGATGAGGATCAGGATGAGGATGAGGATGATGATGAGGATGATGATGAGGACGAGGATGATGATGAGGATGAGGATGATGATGATGTTGATGCTGATGATGAGGATGAGGATGAGGATGAGGATCAGGATGAGGATGATGATGAGGATGATGATGATGATGCTGATGCTGATGCTGATGATGATGCTGATTAGTATGATGCTGATGATAATGATGATGACACTGAGGATAATGATGATGATGATTATGATGTTGATGTTGATGACAATAATGATGATGATGATGATGATGATGATGATGATGATGATGATGATGATGATGATGATGATGATGATGATGATGCTACTGCTGATGTCGATGAGTGTGATGATGATGATGAGGAGGAGGACGATGATGATGATGATTATGATGATGATGATGATGATGATGATGATGATGATGATGATGATGATGATGATGATGATGATGATGATGCGGCTGATAATGAGGATGCTGATGAGGATAAGGATTGTTGTTGATGCTGATGACGATGATGATGCTGCTGCTGATGAGGATGATGTGGCTGAGGATGAGGATGCTGATGAGGATAAGGATGGTCGTTGTTGGTGATGATGACAATGCTGATGATGA